TTGCCCAGCCTATAGTTGTGCTTGGGGTTGCATATATAATAATGTGAATGAGGAGTATTGTCTCGCTCACTTTTTAATCTCTCTATGTTGGAATTGCTAATGGGATACAGGGATGATATAAACTGAACTAGGAGGAAAGCAAGTAGCTAAGACTGATGAACAGCTTTAAGTTTATTTAGAGATAATTTGATTCTGAAAGCCAAGAAATCTCTTTTCAGGGCTACTTCACACCAAATATGAAAAAAAAAGAAAAAAGGGTGTTTGTACTTTTAGCTTTCCTGGAATGTGGTGCTTGGTGGTGAGAGAAAAAGTGTTGGTGTTGCCTGCTGCATACATATGCTTTACAGAATGAAAATTCTAGTTATTGTTATTACTTTTAAGTTGGCAGCATTACTAATTGCTGTGGTTAAAATCTTGTCAGTAATAATGCCATCCATCAAAATTATTTAACTCTGCTATTTGTTATCAGTCAAATATAAAAATCTTAGATTGAGCAATGTTTACATTTTTATACAAACTTCTCTCAGTGCTCTATGTAGTATTTTAGAAAGGGACTGAGTAATGTCAAATTATTGCTTTCTTGTATTTTTTTAGTTTTGATGAGCAAGATTCTTTTTGTGATTCAAGTGGTATAGAAATAGAAGAAAAGACTATGAATTGCTCTGAAACTGACACAGTTCAAAACACAGCTATATATGTGGAAACAGGTAATAAATACCAAATTTTAAATATTTTTACAACTCTGTGAAGTATAATATGTAATTTAAAAAACTTTCTAGTAAATGTATTTTATTCAGTTCAGAAATACAATAATCAGGAAAATGTATTAATTTGGGGATTTAATTTTTCGTGTAAGTATGAGTAACTCTTTTAGAATTAGTTTAGGAGGTCCAGACATACTTGATGCAATACTAACATACATTTAAAAAAGAAAAATCAACCTTTTATGCAACTGGTTGCCAGGTAACTTTATAATATGAATGAAGAAACAGAGTGGGGTTTGGAATTTTGTTTTGGGGGGGGGGCGTCTTTTGTTTGTTTTCTTTTCTTTTAAGTAGCTAGCTGCATTAACAAATACTGCAACTCTCTTAAGTCAGGTGTCTTCCGTTAGTTTAAGCATTGAAAACTGGCAATGGGTAGAGAAATAGTGTTATCTGTTGTTCAGTTAACTAAGGAAATTCTAACTGGAAGATTGTAGCAGGGAGCAGTTGCATTAATTCACTACAAATGTTTGAAAATGCTGCCACAATTGGAGGAACTTGTGAATCGGTGTAGCTCTGTCTTTTGTGGAGAGTTTTAGGTTTAGAAGAACATTGCTGAATTCTTTTGAAAGTGTATCTAGAAATGTGGAGCCAGCCAACCCCAGGAAGGAGCTAAAAGGAATCTCAGAAGTCAGGCAGAACAGGTCAATGGAACTGTAATAGACTGTCAGCAAGAGTTGTATTAAATGCGTGGGGAAGAGTATAAGACCAGCTTGCTTGAAAACACATTCTTTCTCAAAAAAAAAAAATTAATTGCACCAGGAAAAAAGCATAGTTTACAGTATTTGGGATCAAAGGCAAAATAAATATGAAAATCTGATATTTATCACTACTTTTTTTACTGGTTTCTTTTCTCTTTTTTTTGTTCTATTATGATTTACGTGGCATTGTACTAGCTATGCTCGCCTTCCTTACCCTTGAAGCAGACACACTGTGGCAGAAGAACAGATTTGGTTTATTGTCCTGCTTCAGCTGTGATGGGTGATCAACCACAGGGCTGCCTGATGCATACCACCAATTAACCCTGATTACATCATTTGCATATCTAGTAACATTTTTTCTGTTTCTTGATGCTTCTTATTATCCTTCTTTTCTCTTTCCTGGTTGCCTGCCAGACAACCAACCTATCCCTAATTGCTTTTTCCTCATTGGCCTGAGTTTTGCTACATGTGTACCTGTTGTGGTTTAACCGCCACAGGCAGCTCAGGCCCACACAGCTGCTTGCTCACTCTCACCTCCCACCCCCCAGTACAAAGGGAGAGAATCAGAAAGGTAACAGTGAGAAAACTCATGGACTGAGATAGAGCCAGTTTAATAGGTAAAGCAAAAGCCGTGCACACAAGCAAAGCAAGACAAGGAATTCATTCACCGCTTCCCATCAGCAGGCAGGGGTTCAGCCATCTCCAGGAAAGCAGGGCTCCATCACGCATGAGGAGTACTTGGGAGGACAAATGCCACGACTCTGAAAGTCTCCCCTTCTTCTTCCCCCAGCTTTGTATGCTGAGCTTGACGTCATATGGTCTGGGACATCCCTGTGGTCATTTGGGGTCAGCTGTCCCAGCTGTGTCCCCTCCCAACTCCTTGTGCACCACCAGCCTCCTTGCTGGCAGGGCAGCATGAGAAACATAAAAGACCTTGGCTCTGTGTAAGCACTGCTCAGCAATGGCTAAAACATTCCTGTGCATCAACAAATTGTCACAAATTCAAAACACAGCACCATACGAGCTACTATGAAGAAAATTAATTCTATCCCAGCCAAAACCAGCACACTACCCAAACTCGTATTTCTGATACTGTCACCTAGGTAATCTTGGCCTAATGTTGCACCTCGGTGCAGCTGGCCTTGCAAGATGTCTCTCCCTAAAAGATCACAATAGTCCCCATCAATTACCTGTATAATTTTGGCTCTTTGACTATTTATGAGATCCAGCTGTTCATCACTGTGCTATCTGCAACTTTCATCCGCTTCTTACACTGTAATCCATCATGTCTAGCAGTTTCTCATGTTGTGTCCGGTAGTTTCTTAAGCTTTGTTCTGTTAGCTTAGCTGTCAGGCCAAGGTCTAGTTAGCAGCAAATCACTTGCCTGAAGCCCTTATAAAATTTATAGGAGAGTTTGGCTACATTATGATTCAGTCTGTACTTAGTTTTCATACAGATATCTATGGAATTTCTATACTGAAGGGCACAGTTTTACTTAAAAAACTTCATTGATCACTAATCGATTCAAACAAGTCATTGAACACAGCTTTGAGTAATTCTCCATAATTCTTTAGGAGATTACTTTCTCACCTTGATACCTCTTGCTCTACATTTGTCACTCTAAATACCTAAAATAAGTTTTTGCTGTTTTGGAACAACAATCATGTCATTATTTATCTAGGACTAATTTTTTAATGTAAAATGGGTTTTTCCTTTCCATAGGCAGCACTTTATCATCACATTTGATTGCAAATACACGACAAAATAGTGACCGAAATATTACCAGTGGTTTGGTAAGGAAAATTCTGAGTGGAACTGATGCTCAAGCACACAATAGTCAAGGCTTAATACCTCCACACATCAGTCAAATTTATGATGAATTATTTGTCATACATCAGAAACTCCAGGTAGGAGCTGGAATTGCCTTAAAAATTTTGTTGAGTAATGTTATGAAGAGTCTCACTTTTGACAGAGAATTCAGAAGTTACTTACATACTAAAACTTAATTTCTTACATACTAAAAGTATTACTATTACTTACACTAATCGAAATTACTTACATACTAAGACTCTGTCATCATCCACCTCTTCCCCTAAATTAATTCACTGATTTGGTAGTGGTGCTTTGATTTGTGTAGTGGGTAGATCAGATAAAATTCAACTTGAGGGAGTTTGAACACAGTACTGCTGCATCCAAGAGGAGTGTCTTGTGACACACTGTGGGCATGGAGGGAAGCGCCTGTAACCATTGCTTCTCCTGAGAGCATCTGAAACTACTCTCCTGGCCCTAGGCATTCGAGAGTGCTTGCCTTCCTGGCATCCTGCAAAAACCTTCCATTCTGCCTTATCTTTACTTTGCTGCTGCTGGGAAATCCCAGCAGTTCATCCCCTAGCAGGCGTAGGCCACTAACAGAAGAACCTATGGTTTTATTCTGTAATGGCTCCCATGCTTCTGCTAGATACACTGCCAGGACTGTCTTTTGCAAAAAATAATGTTGTGTCTCTTTTTTCCTCACCACTTTTTCAGGAATGCTTCTCACTAATTGAAGAAACAATATAGTAATCTAGTGTTCAGGATAGACAGTTGCATCAGACTGTGTTTTGTCTTACAGTTAATACCATTATCCAAAACTTTTGAAAGCAAAAGCCTAAGTTTAATTGTCTAGGTTTATACTTGAACAACCATGTAGAGTTGAATTTTGTATTTTGGAGGCCCAAGCCATCCCAACGCACATCAAAGTCATGTGGGTTTATGTGTGGGGAAACTGAACATAGGTGTCCATTGGGGTACTTTTAATTAGTAAGCTATTGTGTAACACTGTATAATTTTACAAAGAGCTAAGCATATCTCTGGGAGAGAAAATTCAAATTCAGTATAAATTGTGATAATTGCATGGATTTTAAAGCTGTTTCAACACTGGTTTTCTTGATACAGAGAGAAAGTTCAGCACAGCAGGAGTATGCTCTGCAACTCCAGAAACGAGAACATTTTCTAATGGAGCGAGAAGCATTGCTTTTTAGACATGAAGCAGCTTTGGCTAAAATAAGAGGTGTTGAGGAAGAAGTTCACACAAAATTTGGAATTATAAAAGAGGTGCAGTAATGTATTTAATGATGTTTATTGCTCTACATGCCATTTAACTTGTTTGTAGTTATCTTAAGTCATCACATTTGCTGGATATAATGGTTGTTTATTTAAAGTGCTTGAAATTCCCAGATGAAATGTCTACCAAACAATATTGTTAGGGTTTTTGTATGGCTTCTGTTTGAGTGGTGCATTTAGTTGTCTGATTTGTAGGCACGTTTTACAGTTACAATTTAGAAAAGAAAGGTAACTTGTTTCTAAACCAGCAAAAACTATGCAACCGGTATTAGAGAAAAAATGTTGGTCTATATGCAATTGTATGTAACTTAAATCTTTGTGTTAGCTGTAGTTGAAGTAGATTTCCTTGGGAAGGCTTTAAGACACAATGACATCTTACGACGAAACAACTATTGCCGAGAGTATTAGCAGAAAAAGTCAAAAAGTTCCAAGAAAGAAAAGATCAACCTAACTTTGGGGGTGTGGGAGGAAATGAAATGGTATGATTTGAACAACACTGTTCTTGTGGGTGTTTACTATTTAATTTAGGTCTTGTGGAAAGTTTGGTTATTATCCAGAAGATCACCAAGAGAAGTCCTTAAATATGTGTACTTAGTGTCAAAACCATAAGCTGAGAAATTACATTTCTTTGAAATATGCAGATAAACCTTTCCCACAAGCTGTTGAGGGATAATAGATCACAAGTTAAAAAGGAGGAAAAGGGCATCAAAGGAGAGAGGGACCTCAGGTGCTGAACAGGGAAGGAATAGGTTAAGGCATTAATTTAGATGTTTCAAATCTTCTGAGCTTTAAGAATTTTACACCAGTTAGAGAACTGGCTGATGAAAACCCAGGAAAAATTAGTGGTTATCTGTGAAAATCTGTGGAGGTCAAATGAAGTATTAGAAGACTAAAAAAATGTGGTCCCTTTCTTTTCAAAAGGG